GTTCAATACTCCCGTTATTCACGTGGTACAGCTAACCGAGCCTGTGGACGAACGCAGCCCTCTTGAAGGCATGATCACCCTTCTCAAGTATGACCTCCGCATCAGCTTTCAGCTTCTCTGCAAACATATCAGCGAGCATGCCATTCGTTACTACTAGAGTCTCAGCGGCACCTTCTGCCAGCGCCCCCGACCATCACCCCATGCCACTGACACTTACAGCCTATCAACCCACACTCTACCCTTCGCCGTTCAGGTAGCTGCGAAGCGACGGGGGTTTTACACCGAAGTAGAAAGAAGTGTTGTTGCGGTAGAAGGACGAGTGACAATTCGTCAGAATGCCGGCGACCGCATACTGTTTACCAAGCCCGCAAGCGCTGAGCGCCACCTACTGCTTCTTGGCATAGTCAACGCACGGGCCACGATTTTTCCGAACCCCCATTCAACCGAGACTCTGACGGAGCTCATTGCGGTGTTGAAGGTCTGTTCGAAGGCGTTTAAAACCCCCTTGTACGGCGCCAGCAACCAGGGCGAAAGGCTGTACGCAGGGTCGCCGAATACGTAGTAAGGGGTGCCTGCTGCGTCGTTGAACCACTGCTGCAGATCTTGCAGCAGACCACTTTCCCCTACCATGGCGACATCGTGGCGACGCCCGAGTATGGGACCCCAAAGCATGCGAATTATCCCATCGGGGGTGTCGATCGCTTGATACTTCAACGCGTGCTTTCGCTTCCAACCATTGTACCACAATCTCTGATTACGCTTAGGTCGCGAGATCGCGCGAATAGTGCCGTCGATAAAGCCCCAACAACGCGTGAGCGGGGCACCTTTCTCATGAATTGCCTGACAGAACATATCTATCTTTGATAGAATTGCATCATGTTGCAGCTGGTTTACCAGGTGACCCCAGCGATCAAAGATCGCTTCGATGGTGAGGTTGAAGATATCGCATATCATCTGTTCCGCTATCCCCCAAAAGAGCCGGTCCCGGATCAGCGTCGTCGGACATGCCAGGCGCCAGATCGTCACCGCCAGCGCAAGGTCGATAGGAACCCTGGAAACTCCAAACCCTCCCCTGTTGACCGAACAGACACAAGGAGCAAAGTCATGTTCCATTGCTGCCGTCAGTTTCGGTGCTATAGGGCGAAAACGGGCGGGGGGAGAAGTACCACGCGTGGTGAACGCATGGAGAGTGCGGTGACTATATGTGCTACACGTGTAGACTGCTGTAGTACAACAGGTATGACCTCAAAAACACATCAAAAATCAATAGTCTACTGCTGTATCAACTACTTCGCTGTCATTGATGCTGTCTGAAACTATGTGCACCTCCGTGATACTCAGGACACGGGTATGATTCCTACGTGCCGAGATGAGAAGCCTGTCCACAGCAGTAGCACAACCCCGACGCGCCCTGCCCGTCGCATACAGCAAATACCGCAGAGTTCTCAAACGCACACGAGTCCGACTGACCTGTGAATTTCGATCTCCTCAGGGAGCTGCAGCTCGTGCAGCAGCTCGCGGAAGTGAGGCTTCTCGAAGCTAAAGAGCTCCTTGAAGTCCAAGCCTCCAATTGCATCGAAGAAATTGTACATCGGGCACACACCCTCCAGGATCGTTGGGGCTATCAGTTCTTCATACGCCTCCAGCTTTGCTACGCCAAATATGGCCATCACGAGGAACATGTCCTCCTCTCCAGCTAGCGCACACAACACAGCAAGCAGAAGAACCAGCATGCACTCATCATACCGCTCGTAGCGGATTCTGCCTCGCGCAAGGCGCGCCATCCCCTCGCTCCGTGTCGGGTGCGGTGATGAGGGAGCGCGCCCGTTGGGTTTCCCGGCGGTGCAGCGATGCAGCTGGGGTTGAATTTTTTGGAACTTAAGGCTGCGCCGTTGCTGGCCTTCGCCAGGCAACGTGCGGCGGAATATTTTTTCGTGTCAATTTACCAACTGGTACTTATTTTCGTGTCAATTTGCCAACCGTCATATATTGTTTTGGACTGAGATAGATTGACACGAAAAAAGTGACAAATAACGCGCGTCGCTTTCCCCTTCTCGGAAAGGCGCTTTCCTTTCTTCAATCCTTGAACAAAGGCGATGCCTAGTGAGATTCGAACTCGCGGCGTATCCTTACTCGTTACATGGTCTTATTCACCAGTCTACTCAATCACTTGGTTGCCTAGAAGCACATACACGTGGCGATCGTCCAGCATTCAATCTCCAAATGAGACACATGGTACATGCAACATCGTGGAAACACGACCAAAATCCTCCCGTAAATAGAGTCCAACAACACCCAAGAGGTAACGCCCTCCGTCATCCAATAACTGCAAGATCGAAATAGTTCCACCTCAATCATGAGAGGACGACCATTACTCTGTCACGTTGCAGAATATCTGCAGACCGGGCGCAAAACTCTCCGAGCATTACACTCTCCAAAACAAAAAACCCACGCACGGCGCCACCCTCCCTTATTCTGCAACCACACAGGCCACACAGGGAACACAAAACAAGCGGTGACGCGTGAAACTCGAGCATGTGGCGGCGGAAACACCCATGGATTTCAACAAGCAATTAACAGCGATCTATGCAAGTCCGCAACAGCGCCTCACTTGCGACTATTCACGTGCAATACAAGTTATCGCCCTTTACTGCTAAACGCCACATACAAAAGAATCAAAAAAAAAAACAAAATAAAACACATTCCGGTACCAACCAAAATGAAGATAGTGCCCGCGGAAATCCACCGCGCGGCTGGTCCGTTTTGCTTCCCTCCCCACCCGCCCACACCCGACGTCCCTCGGCGTCCCGACGTTCCTCGGTGTAGCGGTGTAGCAGACAGGCACACGACGGCTTTCTCGTGTCTTTGAACTCCACCATCCCACAGCTACGTATTTCCGGGCCCCGCCAGCTGATGATGTAGAGTGCACGCGGTACCCCACGCGCCTTGATGTTCGCTGCCCCCTTCCCGCTCTTGGTAGAAGGCAGCCACGGCCACTGCCGTGCTGCTGGGTGTGGCCAAATACTCCAGCACTTCTCACACAACTCCCGTGATACCCCGCCTATCCATCGGGGCCAGGAAGCACTTCTCTCCCCGCATATCCATCGGGGCCAGCAAGATTTTTCTGGTACCCTTCCCCGCACACACGACGGGTTGGGTTCGCGTGCCCCCTCCTACACGCTCCTTAATGGGGATAAACACAAGAGAGCACACACTACTCTCAAGTGTACACGAATGTTCTCCACCCGTGTTCGCGGGCCACATACCTTGCGGGTACAACCCGCGGGCATTCCCGCTCCGGCCTTGTCTCCAGACCCGCCCCAGCAGACATTGGTGTTGTATACCTCCAGGCCATCTCCCGGTCTTGTGTTCCTTCCATGCTGCTGGGGTGCAGGCGGCAGAACTCCACCGCCTCCGCGTGCCCCCTCCTACACGCCCTTTTAATGGGGACAAACCGATATAGCAACCGGCTCGGGAGTAGCAGATACTCTCCTCTGCTCCCACGACCCGCACCTGCGGGCGAGCGGCAGCCTCCGTGCTCCCGCTCTATGGAGCCCCCGTTGGGACTCCTGGTGGACATGCACTACACAGCATCCCCACCGTCGACAGCATCCTCTTGGCGCCGCCTAACTTCGTCCGACCCCTCCTGAGTGGATAAGTCGGTCGCTGGGACACTTTCGCTAGTGCCCCCAGCGGTAGCAACTCTGCTGTGCAACAGCTCTGCCACAACTTCTACAACAGACGGAGAGAGTTGGTGTACTGGAATGCACCAAACACACCTTCAGCAGGGACCTCAACAGCCCGCACCAGGGCGCCATCCACGTCCGGCCTACTGCTGCTCTCTCCTCCCGCAGTGTCGCCCTCCCTGACGACCACGCAGCTCTTGGTGGCTGCTCGGTGGAACACACAAATCCCGCCGCACCTGCCGTGCCTCTCGCAGCACGGCCCGACTAATCCTGGCCTCGCCCACCCGACTTGGCCTGCAGAAGCGATGGCAGCCTGCCCATCATCTCCTACACCCCTGGTTCTCGCCTCAACTCGAAACCCTAGTCAAAACTTGCGCGTCGTCTCACTCAGTAATGTCCTTACCACGGGATCACGCACAACGCTCCTGCTGCTGCTTCTCACCACAGCTGAACTCTGAAGATCATCGGGCTCCTCCGGAGGATGCATTCTAGAATGTTGGTATGCCCTTGTTGTGTGACCTCCAGAGTCCAAAGAGTGTTGTTAACGGCATGTATTATCGTAGGGGGACATGAGGGAGAAGGAGGGAGGAAGAGTGCCCAGGCCCAAAGCCAGTCGAAAAGGGGGCCCGCAACTCGTATCTCAAGGTCTCTCCTAGCCGCCCCTCAAGGCAATCCCATCTGCGGTACACGGAACCGCCAGTGAATTGGTACAATCCGACTAATCTACCTCCACGCACGAACATTTCTCACCTGGTCCTCCAAGAACACCGCCGGGTTGTTGAGCGACTGCGCCACATGAGGGTGCTCTGGACCTAGCACCTTCTCATATATGGCTTGTGTCTGTTTAAACAGAGGCTCGGCCTCACTGTACTTGCCCTGCCATGCAGTGGTAGACGGCGTGGCAGAGTTGGAAGTATAATTGTCAAACGTGGGATCGACAGTACAACGAACCGGATCATTACAAATTTTCCACACCCTGACGATTGTTGGGCGCCTGGGTCACATCCGAGTGATCCAAGGCCAGCGCCTTCCCTATTATGGCTTGTGACGGCTCGTAGAGTAGCTCGGTCTCCGCATGCTTGTCATGATATGTACTAGTGGACATCGCGGCGGAGAGTCGGATTGTATACAAATTGAGATCTGCTGTTGCGGAGGAACATGTTTTCCTACGAGCATCAGAAGCAATGTGTAGCTTTGATGTGTAGCTTTGTCCTGGCTATGCAACAACCCTACCCGGTTGTTGAGCCACGTGGCACGGTCTGGATGAGTGATGCCAAGCGTGTCCTCACCTACCAAAACAATTTTGTGGGGAAAAGGACCACCAGACCAACGGGTATACGCAAGCAACTCAGCACCAAGTATGGGCCCCGCAGAATTTCCTGCTAACTTCCAACTATCCTCACCTGGTTGATCAACAACACCGCCCGGTTATTGAGGCGTTCACCAAGCTCTGGGTGATCAGGACCTAGTCTAATGACTTCTCTCCAACCTCAATAGCTCGAAGGTTAAGAGGATCCGCCTCGGCGTACTTGCCCTGGAAGGGCAAAGAATATCAGTGTGGGTAAGACGAGAAAGCGTTTTGCCGACGCGCGAACGCTGAACACGCCCGAATGTTGGGTGTTGCGGCATCATTCATGCTGGTGCTCAGAACCCAAGGTCTTCTTGTATTTCGCATGGTGCGTCACATTATGTGGCCAAACCCCAGAACACATGCCTTGGATGCATAGTTCAGTCACAGCAGTGGGATCTCCAGCTGCGGAGAATCACACTGTTAGGATCGCCCTCCCGCTTGTTGAGCATTTATGCCACATCACGGTGTCCCTCGTATGACATGCGATCGCTGGTAGAGTGACTCGGTTGTTCGTACATGTCTTTTACTTGGAAGGGGACGACGTTTTATCTCTTGTATTTAGACTGCAAGGGGAGTAGGGAGAAGTGAAGCCCTGTTTGGAGTTCGAGGGGTCCCCGCACATGCAACCATTTCGAGGTGTACATAAGCCCCATCTGAGTGCCCTCTGTTGTTGCCGGTAGTTCTAACCAGTCCGTATCCAAACACACGAACACCCTCCCTGGTTTGCACGCGAATGGCAAACCTAACGTGGGGCATGGATACCCCTGATCTACCAAAGGGACTCAAAACAACAACAGGCTCGAGGGAAAACCCGGTCAACAGGACTAAAAAGAATAAATCTACTTACGTCACGGTGGAGTTATTTCTTATATACGTCACCGCCCGTATCTCAGCCGACAGAGCTTCAATTGGCACGAAATAAATTGCGTTTTGTAGCTATGACCCACACCAATCATACAAGTCTTTCGACGGTCAAATCCGATAAAAAAAAACTCGTCTAACACCCTAAATATAGAAAAACCGTCGCTATCACGGAGGATTTCAACGGCCGCGCTTTCAAGACAAGACCAAGGCAGGACAGATTGAACCGGTCACGCTGATTACACACCCGAAGCACCGCTCTCGGCATTTCTAGGCTTCAGCCGCGGGTGACGCACCGGCACAACGCTTCCTGCGTGACGTACCATGGTCATATATGCCAAGTGCTATATCCACCACAAAAACCAAACAGAACAAGAGGACACTACATCGGTAGGTTCATCAGAGCCTTCCGGTGGTACTCTAACTTCTCTCTGCCAAGGACCTTGGTCAGCATGTCGGCTTGCTGCTCTCCCGTCGGAACAGCGATCTTGCCCGGCTTGAATAGCTCGCGAATGAAATGGAACCGCACGTCGATGTGCTTGCTCCTCGCTGAGCTGAACGGGTTCTCGATTAAGGCGAGAGCCCCCTTATTGTCCTCAAGGACCTTCATCTTCGCCCCACTCGTCTCGGGCGCTATGAACGACAGAACGCCATGCACAAACAACCCCTCCTTCCCGCCCTCCCCCGCTGCCATATACTCTGCTTCCGAGGTCGACTGAGCCGTCACTGGCTGCATCTTGGTGGATGCACACACTACGGTACCACCTACGGTCACAGCTAGCCCGGTCGTAGAACGCCTGTCTACTTCGTTGTCAGCGTAGCTGGCATCGACAAACACATTTAGGTCTAGTCCTGACCCCCGTACGTAGGTGATGCCGAAGTCTTTCGTGAAGTTCAGGTAGGACATGATCCGCACAGCGCGTTCCATATCCTCCCGGTGGGGGAGTGGGCGATCTTCTGGAGCTTGTGCAGAGGCAGAGCGATGTCTGGCTTCGTCAGCTTCGTCTACATCAGGCATCCGATCGCCTCCCTCACAGGCTTATCCACCGCGGGCTCGTCATCTCTCTTCGGCCCTTCCGGAAGACACACGGGTCAACCCTGCACTGCTCGTATCCATTCTCGATGAGATGTGTCTGTTGATAAAGCGGTAGCTTCTGGGGAAAAGTAGTTGAATTAAAGAGACCCTTGTCAGGAGAGACTGGTCAGAAAGTGGAGTGAGCACG